ACAGTAAAACTCAATGAAAGGTTAAAAATGATTATAACATTTTGTTTTTAAATCTAGGTTCAGTTTAAGAAATATCTGGAAGGAATTTTCTTAAAACCTTTTTAAAGCAAGTTACATGGAAAATTTCAGACCAAATGATTATTCTTTGGCAAAATTATATATAACTGAAAACAAGACCTTAAAAATGCGAAACACGAGCAATCTGAACTCAGGGAAATACTTCCAATTCAATCTCAACATAATAATTAAAATTCCAAAAGTGACACATGTATTTAAAGCTCAAGAGAAACACATACAAGTTCTGATCTCAGCATTTATTTGTGTTTACATTTTTCAAATACTTCACTGTTAAGAGCGCTGCTTCAAGTTGACTTGAAAAAAAGTGAAAATTCACAAAAGGATTTCTTAGACACTCTAACATCCCCTTTTGTGACAGTCAGTCAATCAGTGGAGCTAAGGCTGCTGCACTTAATTGATAACTTCTCCATCTCTTACATGGGAATGCTGCATACAGAGGTTACTTCCACACTTTGCCTCAATTGTCTGAATCACTTACGGTCTCTGACTTATGAAAAAATAAGATCTCAGTAACTTCAGTGGTACAGAACAAGTTCTCTGTATTCAGAATTGCTCCTCATCAAACAGTACACTGTTTTTTTTTTTTTCCTCTGTTAATGGAGTTTGAAATAAAATCCATCAATATGGGAAGTACCGCAAGCATCTGATCAGCTTTAAGAAATCCAAAGTCTCTTCTTCTAACACTCCCAATCACCTGCAATGTGAGCCCAGTTTTCTTTCCTTCTCAGCGATTATACTCAGTGTTACCCAACTTTTAGAATAAAGCTAAGCATTGTCCATATTCTGAATAAATTAGTGGTATCAGAATTCACTGAAATTCTTTATCTTTTTCCAGCATTAACTTGTTCTAGCCCTGGGTTTGTATAACCAAAGACAAATAGAGTATACAGTGCATATGAAGAGAATCATGGGAGGAGGTACAGAATCTCCAGGTCTACAGCACTGAGAAAACGTGGAAATATGATAGACTGATTCTTCAATTTCAGGTGCTATTTCTTACTCACTTAACTAAGGTTTATACATCATGGACTGGAAATGATGCGAGGCTTTTAACAGTATCACGTGCAGTTTACTTGGGGATGTATAATGTATTTTTTTGGCATTGCTGAAGCAACACAATATTTTTTTTTTATTTGGCTTTTCCATAGGAAGGTGGCACTATGCCCACTGGAATCAATGCAGCATACTGTTTCTCCTGGCTGATTCACCCAAATATCAAATTCGAACCTTTGATCAGTGGGAGTGTTTTTCTGATATCAACAGTAGATGGTACCATGCAACACAAATAGTTTATTTTTAGGAATAAGATTACTATCGCTGTTGACTATTTGACCATTACACTTTCTCCCCTAACTGCTCATTTACAAATAGCAAAATTCAGCACTGCATACTGACTATGAAATGTAACATAAAACCAAGCATTTATTCACAGAATCTGAACAGGATACTAGGTGCACTGGGAACCCATCAGATAAAACTGCTGTAAGAAAACCGTAGAGAACTACAAGAAGGTCACAGAATATAGAGACTAAAAGTTAGCCTTCTTTTTTGTGTCATGATTTCCCATGAGAATTCCAATCAAACACTCTCAAACTCAATTACCAATCTTAGGCTCCTGAAGGCAGATGTGCCAGTTGGTATTCATATACTGGGCTGAAACAACAACTCATAAGAATGATGTGTTCACATCATTTTAAATTGGGGTAGTCAATGGGCAGCCCTCACAAAACTCTTTGTTGTCAGGATTTTGGAACCAGATTCCAGTTGGAATGCCATCTAAGTGGATCATTCAAATCAGTAAGCAGGTAAGAGCTATTTGCCAATCTTACTTACCATATGGAGCTTATCAAAGAAAGAAGTGGCAGCTGGGAACAGAAATCTGCCTTGCTCATTTTGCACTGTTTTAATGTACCTTTGCGTGTGAGCTGAAGCAACTTGGCTGTTCTATCTCATATAAAGGCCAGACTAGCACTCCAGTTGACTCCTGATGTCTCTCAAGAACAGAACTTGGCTTCTGCGAGAAAACAACTTTTTTGGCTTCAAAGTCTTCCATGGTATATTCTGTGGTGTTTTCCAGCACAAAATGGAATAAAACTATACATTATTACAGACATATTTGAGAAGCGTTCAGAACTAAGTGCTCCAATTTTTGTGCAGTTCACTGTATGAAGAATATAATTAACCTTGGAAAACCCCTTTCCAACTAATCTTTTTTTATATATCTCACATGAACACTTCTGCTTTTAACACAGGCACTAATGTGGAATTTAAGGAAGAATCTATGTGACAACTTTGTCTGAATGCAGACTGGTCCCAGTAAGTCCTTCTGCTAAGACACAACATCATGTGTAGAGGCTGAACCTACCCACCAGTATTCCATTATATGTTGCCGCCATGTGACAGATGGCAGCAGAGGGGCAGCCTGACAGAACAGTGTCTGACATGGTACTGTGTATGGAACAATGGTGTGGAATTGAATTCCTCCAGGTGGAAAAAATTGTACCCACTGACATTCATCAATAGGTGCTGAACAAGCTTATAAACAGAAGGTAGACCAACTTTGTACGTGGTACAATAGTGATAGGAGAAGTGGGGATGGCTTTAAACTAGAAAAGGAGAGATTTAAGTTAGGTGTTAAGTGGACACTCTCTTTACTCAGAGGGCGGTGAGGCATGGTGCAGGCTGCCCAGATAAGCTGTGGATGCTTCATCCCTGAGGGCATTCAAGGCCAGGTTGGATGGGGCCCTGGGCAGCCGAGCTGGTGGGGGGCAGCCTTGCCCATGGCAGGGGGTTGGAATTGGGTGATCTTTAAGGTCCCATTTATCCTAAGGCATCCTGTGATTCAGAAACTATTGAAAATAATCAGAGTTGATTTCATATACACACCTCTTAGACATTAAAACTGAGTATGTTATGACATGATCTTCTTGCAGTATTTAAGGTCTTCACTTACTTCGCAAGATTAAATGTTCCTCCAAACCTAGATGTGGATTTTGAATATTTTATGGGAGAAAACAGCAAGGGAATGCTGGAAAAAGTTTTCCTCCTGTGTTTCACTCCCTTGGCTCCATTTCTGTTGTAAGTACTCTTAAGAGAGAAAAGTTAGTGAATGGAACACAAATGAGGAAATTACATTTATGCTATTATTAGTGTAAATCCTTTATGTCAAGTTAAACAACCAAGATAAGAGTTAGAAATAAGTGGGAAGCCTCCATATAATGAAACTGGACAGAATCGAAAAAGATAGAAAATCAATACATTATTTTTTCCTCAAATCTTATTAGCACTATGCAACAAATTACTGCAAATACAGAAAAAGTGACTGGCACTTTCTGTTTTCACCACACATAGTTACTGTACACTCTTGCCCTTCTTCCTAACATACCTGTTATCACAGAAATTATTAATTTGGGTCAAAACACACTAGTCTGAAGGCAGTAACATGGATTACCCTTCGTCATGTTATCACCAAAGTACACAGAAAAATAAAACACGAAGAGTTTTCAGTTTGTGATAGGACACCACAATAAACAATAGCTCAATTGTAGGTATTATGTGATATTAATTGCCTATGACCTTTAATTACAGTGATTTGTCAAAAAAAATGAACTCAAAAATATTATAAAAAATGCAAGCTGTGAATTACATGGTATGCTAATTCATTAAGAAGCAATTAACAATAACTTTCATCAGAAAGAAGTTTTTTGTACATGCATCTTTATCTGCATGTGCAGATTGTTTGGAAGAAAATTTAAGGGCTTTAAAACTGAGATTAAGAAGAGATTGAGAAGAATGTTCTTTTTTTCAGAAATAGTAACATTTTATTAACTTTTCAAAATAGCTTTTTTTCTAATGACTGAATTAAGAAAATGTAATTATAATGATATTAGTTCTGCACTACTTAAGATTATATCAGGTTTTCAATCACAAACTCTAATTTTCATGACTATAACTCAATAGCAGTGACATACTCTATGTTGAGTACTGGCTCATGGTTTCTTCAAAAAAGCAACATTAAAAATAGAAACACAACTCTGCTGCTATGAGTTATACACCATTTGAAATGACTACTGTAGGCATACCTTTTAATTTATTCAAAGGGACTGCCACTAAAGGAAACTGGTTTCCTTCATAATCTAATAGAATAAATCTCATAGCACTTAGAACCATTTGATTTCAAACAAGATTTGGGGTGGAACATTAGAGCTTATTCATGCAAATACTATACAACAGGGTGCAAACTAATGCAAGATGTTTTGAAACACAGTTCTGAATGATAAATCTCCAGTCTCCACCTTTTCATAAAGCAGATTAAAGATATATATTGAAGACAAGGAACAAATGCCTGCTATTGAGAAAAGGTCTAAAGAATTGAAAGTTTTCTGAGCTAAATGTAGAAGGACTGTGGAACTACACTATCCATGATTTTAACAGCTATAGAACTTCATCAAAAAAGACAGGCTTTTTTTTTAGCACACAGAAGTTGAGAATTTTTGTTTTTCCTACAATGCTATTTTCTACACATGGTAGTTTAACATCTTCTCATTACTCTCCTTGACATTCAAGAACAGACACTGAAAAGAGGAATATGAGGACTACAGAAGGCCTGCAGAGTACAGTGGATCTGGGCAGCACTACGAGGCAACCAAAAGGCACTGTGATCACTTAGTGGAAGCTACCTGTGCTCAACACCATTTCAACACCCTGTTTAGTCTGTCATTCATTTCCACAGTGCTACTGTTCCTGCATATGAAATTGCCATGCTGATCTTCCCCGCTGCTGGAATGGTACTGTGAATTACCGCATCGGAGTTTCTAAAGCACTTTGAGATCCCTGAATATAGGTGCCATGTGAGTGTAAAAGATCAGACTGCATGTTTATTATTATTATTATTATTTTTCAGAGTATAACTCAGATCTTACTTTGCTTCCAGTGCCAGTGCAATGATGCCTGCAGCCATTGGTGCAGAGGCTGACGTTCCAGTATGGCTGTCTGTGCAACGCTGCCTCAGGTCTGTGGTGATCTGGAAGAAATTGTGTGAAATTTAGAACACAGCTTCAGGAATCAGAACAGGTTTCATTCAATCAAATGAGTTGCACATGTGGAGGGTATTCACTTCTTTCATTGCAAAGGAAAAAAAAGCTTGTCTGAATACATGATGTCAACATTCTACTCTGATCTCTAAGTCCTTTGTGAACTTGAAGATTGTACTGCACTGAAAACATAAGTTAGTATCCATTTTTTTCACAGCATGATCAACAAAAAGACTGGTAAATTAAAAAATCCATGGGGTTTTATAACAGCACAGTTAGAACTCTGCCCTATCATTTGCACTTTGCACCATCCAAGAACCTCAAAGTGCTTTAAATAAGTAAAATAAAAATAAATAAAAATGAAGTTCACAATGTTCACAATGTTCGCAATGTTCGCATCATAGAGTGATCAGGTGCATTTTAGATACAGTAAAACCAAGATACAGAGATGTTAACTAAATTGCTTTTTGTTACGCTTCAAGTATGATGGTAAGAAATATGTTTCTGCTCATGCAAACTTCTGTGTTTAACAAATGGGCCTTTTTTATTGTTTATGCAATAATTTACATGAAATTAAGCAGGAATTGATCTGAAAAGCCTGTTGTCATAAATTCGTCCTAGAAACCAACTGCCAATTAGTTATTTACAAGTTCTTTACAGAGAGAGTGGTGAGGTGCTGAAACAGGCTTCCCAGAGAGGTTGTGGATGCCCCATCCCTAGAGGTGTTCAAGGCCAGGTTGGATGGGGACCTGAGCAGCCTGGTCTAGTATTAAATGCGGAGGTTGGTGGCCCTGCCTGTGGCAGGGGCGTTGGAGATTCGTGATTCTTGAGGGCTATTCTGTGATTCTGTGATATTTGAAGCTTTAAATTGTTGTATGTGCTGGACAATGTGCTGCTACATACTTGTAACATGGAACCCAAGTGGATGTATAAAACTATATAAAGCAGGCACGTCCAACCCACAGCCCACAGTCCACATGGGGCCTGGCACAGCCCATCCTGTGGCTACCCGCTGCCCTGTGCCATCATGATTGCACCTCTGCCTGCTGAATGGCCCTAGCCATCCCCAGGCACACACCCAGTGCTCAAAGCCACCAAACACTGCTGCATGAACATCAATGCCTGGACTGAAACCAGGGCACGGGGAAGGCACAGTGCAGTGCTAACTCAAATGATGGCAAATAATTGTATGCATTTTGACACAGCCCTGTGAACAGCAAAAAAATAAGCATCCATGCTTCCCATTGTGATCAAGGACTTTGAGAACAGGTTTCAAGACTGAAAAAAAATTAAAAAAAAAAAAAAAATCACTTTTATGGTTTATTAGCAACTCAATTTTAAGTCAACATAAGTACACTGCCTGCAAACTTTTGAATAGAATGTATAGAGTTGCAATCAGAAATTCAACTCAAAGAAAAATCTCATCGTGTCTCTCTATAGGACTTCTATAAGCCCTCTCTTATCAGAGAAAAATATCCCTTACTTCACAATCACACTTTATTCACATCGGTGCTTTTTGACAATATGCGCATTTGTGAACAACTGTTTTCAAGGATGAAGCACAAGAAGAGTAAAATTTCTCCAAAAATCTCCAGTGAACACCCTGACAGCTCTCAAAGAATTGCTGCCACTGCCACTGAATCAGACTGATGCATTAGTGTCACGGAGTTATTTCTAGATCTGACTCTGTGACAGGGGTACAAGCCCAGAAGTAGGCAAAAGAGAGAGGGGGAAAAAAAACTACCCCACTACCACAGTGCGGCTGGCCCTGGCCTGTGACTAATGAGGCAAGGCGCTTGCAGGCCTTATGCTCCAGAAGAGGGGGAGAGGTGGAAGGGTAGGGAGATAGCAGATAGGTTTAAAAATGAGCAACGGCAGCAATTTGAGGAGGAATGGTAATTTACTAAATCCAACAAAATCAAACACAATGAGAGAGAAAAGAGTGTCAAAATACGAGGTCTTACACTAGCAGACTGTAAGGGAAGCATGTGCTCTTCTCCATGGCAAACTGAGAGAGAGAGTCAGCGAGAGGGAGAGCAGCCGATGTCCTGCCAGGAGCTCCATCTTTCTATCTCTGCATGCATTCCCTCCTCCCCTCCCCTCTGAGAACCCAAAATGCCCAAAAAAAGGCAGTCCATGGAACAAGAACATTAACTCTTCTACTCCCGCTGTTCCGATCTCGAATACCGACAACAAAAATCACAAAACAACAACATTCCACCCCTTATTCCACATCACTACATCATGCTTACCTTACATCTATGTACAGACAAAACAGTAATGAACATGCATTACATACACACATATCTATATACATGGAGTCACTGACTGTACTCCCCCAGCATCAAATTCCCTTATGCTACACACTGGATGTCCCCATTTTTCTCCATCACCCACCAAGTACACTGAGGCCCTTGTGTAAAAACAGTTCCAAAGATAGGTCTGCCCTTCCCAGAAGCTGGAAGGACCCAAACTGCTTTTCCCAACATGCTTTTTATATGTACCACAGGGACCTTATCTTGTTCTACAGTATGTAGGGAGCTGGACTGCATAAGATCATCTCGACTGACTAATCCTCTAGTGTTGACCAGCCAGGTGGCTTCTGCCAAATACTTCTCCCAGTGCTCTCCCCTGTTCTGCCAGTCCAAGTCTATTTGAGCCACCTCAATTCTGTCAGCTCGATCTACCTAATGGTATTTTGCTGTGCTTCAGTAGTGCTACTCTTAGGCAAATGGCCATCTACGTGACACCCCTTTATAACTATATTTTTTGTTTAGGCAGCAATGTTTTTCCACAGTTCAGCAGCCCAAATAGGTTTACCCCTTCATTTCCAGTTGTTTTGTTCCCACTGCTGTAATCACCCACTTGAGGGCATCCGAGTGTACTGGGCACTGGTGTCCAGCAGTGTTTTATATTCCTGTGGTTCTGACATGCCAGGCCATTGAATCCACATAGTCCAGTACACCTTATTATCCCTTTCCCCCTTCTGACTGAGGGCAGGGCCCCCCTACTTTTACCTGCAGTAATGAGAGCAATTTCGGTAGTTGATCTGTTTTGTAATTCTCTCACTAGTGCTCATAGTGCAGGAATGGGTTGGTGGTGCCACTTCTTCATGTCCTCTCCATGCTCACGTAAGTAGCTCCACAGGGCAGCACGAGACATAAATTTACTGTGGTCCTTTGCTCAAACAGGGTGGTGTTTGCCTTTGATAGCTGAGACTTTAATCAGTTCAATCAGCTCCTTCAGCAGACTCTATTGATCATCCTGGTCTTCCTCAGGTGTTTCTGATACAGCCATGGTTCACTGTGATTAATCACTAGGGACAATTCCTCCAACAGTGGAATTCCTCCAACAGTGCCTGTTTCTTATCCATTTTATCTATTCTCTTATCCACTTTATCTAGTCTTTCTGTTACTTTGGAGATGGCTGAAATGGAAGCATGGGATGGAGGTAGTTTTTGTTCAAAGTTTTGAAGTGTAAGAATCAGTTCAAAAACTGGGGGTCTTCTGCCCTTGAATCTACTGAACATTACTACCAGTGTACTGGCATACCTTTCTGGCACTGTTCTTGTGAACTTCCACCGTATTTCGGATGTACTCCTTACCCTCCAGGACCATGGCTCTGGCGTAGATCATTAGGAACAAATGTGAGATCATACAGCATTCCCACCATGGCTGTTTCGCTCAAATATTGGATACCATACTCAACAGTATTCTACTTTCTCACCTCAGGCTCCAGATTGTCTTTGAAGGGATGTCTTTCCTTCACAGCTAATAACATTCATTCCCAGAGGGTGTTGACTCTGTCCAGACATCTATTAATCCATCTGTTAATAGCTGAGTCTCTGGCAATGCCTCCTAATTGGCTTCATTACTATACAGGGACACGCTACTGGCCTCGTTGTTCCAACAATGAAGAAATCAGGCATCAATAAAGTAGGCATCAAAAGTTCTTTTTTGTGCCTTGGATTTCAGTCATTTTGAGGGGTCGACAAACTGTGGTAACAGTGACTCCCTCCTCATCACTCTCCTCTCCATGACTCTTACTTTTCTCAGTTGACTTTCTTGGTGACAGTGGTTTTGGGGAGGGCCCCTCACCTGGATCTTCCTCTTCTTCTTCTTCTTTGCATGGACACCAGTTTCTATTTCTGCCCCTCCACAGGGGCAACTGACATTGATACTGGTGCTTCCTGTGATCGGTTGGGTTTGACTTGGAGGTTTTTCCCTTTGGTTTGGATCTCAATTTGGAAACGCTCTCTCCCCAGAACAGTATTATATAGAGTTTGGTAAGCCAAGCCCCAAGTAAGTCGTTCCTCCTCAGATCTTTCTGAGCTGCACCAACACTTACTCAAACGCTCGCTTGGTTTCTAAGGATTCCACAGGTGTTCAAGAGTGAAATGCCATGACACTGGGGGTCTCAATGCTTCTAACCTCTTTCCTAAAACCATATTCCCTGCCACTTAACGTTCTCTGGTTTAGGAAAAAGCTTCCTCCACATAATGTAAAATACTATTGTAGAGAATACATTCAGAGAGACCGATAGCACGTCCATAAGCCAGCATCCCAAACATGCATAAGGAACTGAGAAAAGCACCTGGAAACCAGTCCAAACATCATACCGTCTGTTATATTACCTAGGATGTATAAGAGCCAGGCAGGTATCTCCATCAGTACTCTTAATTGGTTATATGTATATATGCAACTCTGACTCTGAACATGATGAACTTAAATTAATATGTTCCAAGGAACATAATGGTTGTTAGTCCTCTATACAATGCTCTTAAAATGAAGTTAGGGATTCATAGCTTCTGCCTGCATTCTCCAGCAATAACTGTCATGGAGTTATCTCTAGGTCTGCATCTGTGACAGGGGCACAAGCCCAGAAGGAGACCAGAAAAGAGAGAGGGGGGAAAAAAATCACCACACCTTCTGCAGTGTGGCAGTCAGCCCCAGTCTGTGACTCATGAGGCAAGGCACTTGTGGACCATGCC